CTTGCATAAATATATTCACAACACAAAATTATGCATGAACTTGCACAGATTTATGCATGTCTGGGTTTCAAGTAGTTGCTGCCTGCTAGACGCCAAAAGCACAACATGGATTACCCATTTCGGTGGTCATTTTATGTGGCAAAACACGCTCATGCTGAAATTTAGGGAGGTATGGATCCTTTGCCTCTTTTAGACCTGAAAGTCATCTACAGAGCACAGGATCACCAAGACAGCAGAACAAGTGAATCTGTTGCTATAAAAAGCCGACGACCCAACCTTAACGTACAGGGCTCGTCATGACCGATTATGCGAACGTGATATGTGTCTTGATGTGTAATGTGTGCTAGCTTGAAATCGTTTACATGTGGAACCGATGTGATACCCGACGCGTGATGCACGATGCCTGTTGAAGTGACATTGTTTGCATAGATAATTGATGCGTGATGTGTGATGCCTGTTAAGTTCAACTCGCTTGCATGTTTGACTGGAGTGTGGTTCGTAATGCCTGTTTACTCGAATTCGTTTGCAGGTACACATATTTTTAGCGTATCAGAATTCTTAGCTAGATATTTAGTGTATCGGAGCAGTGGCTGGCCATTGCTCCTTATTTATTCCCTAAAAATTGGTATCCTGTAAAAACTGTGACTCACTGTTTTTAAAAACAAAACAACTGAAAAATCGAGCAGGATCATCGGCAGACAATTTCGAGTTCACTTCTGTAATTGTTTTAATAAAGGCTTGTTGCCTAAATATCAGCGCACCTATTTATCCATTCACGTCCTCATATCCTCATATCCTCACAGGAATGAGGCTATTACTACTTTCTTGCCTATGTGAATAATGCTCCTCCAAAATACACCTAACAAATTACATAATGCTGAGTTAGATCGGACTAGTGTAATCGAGGTTGTGGCATTTGCCTTTTATAATGAAATTCGACGGTATTCAATTAGATGACATGGATTTCTCAGCGAAATGCTTTTTACGCACTCGTCTAGAACTATTTGACTTTGGGAAAGCAGCCGGTAAACCCAAGAGTTACCGCAAAATCAAGGCAAAATTTAGGCAGTGTCATGAAGATCCTTACTGTACAGTGATAGAAAAATATGAGTGCAACATACAATATGACCCTATAAATTTACAGAAATTAGATCTACAAAACCGCAGTCGAAATTTATTCTTAGCAATCCGAACATTCTCTGCAAAATGTGATATTTTCAGCCATATTAGATGGAGGGCAGCAGCAGTGCAGCCACATTTACCGACAGAAAGCCATGTTTTCCATCTGGTCTCGCCATAATGCTATGGCCAACAATGCTGCCATATTTGAGGGTACCACCGTAATAGCGGCCATATTTAGCAACACTGCTGCGCTCCCATAATGTTCTGTAAGTAACGCAGAATAAATGTGTCGTAAACAGTGAAAGACTAGCAAAAATACCGAATGTGGCACTCATTAGGAGGGACCAGCAAAGCCCGCTGGGCTGGGATATATCACATTTAATTCCCGTCCGTTGAAAATGTACCTTTGCAGCGGCACATCCATGATGCATTTGGTAAGTACTGTGCATTAAGGGCACGTTTAGGTACATTGATTTCTACCAAGCCAGCCGGAAGTGTGGCACGTTAACTCTGTCACGATGCTTGATGCCTGTTTGCCCCAGTTGAATGACGGCAGGCTGTGTTCACGTACGTCGTTGGTCGCAAAATTCAACCACAGAACACTGCGGGCAGCACACCCTGTCGAATGTAGTTGGCAGCTTTGTCGAACCCAGTTGGCAGCTTCCTGGCACCGCGTCGCACTTTTTTCTGCTAGCCTGCTGGGTTCCTGTGTCATATGCGTCATCTTGTGTGAGCTGTGCAGCCCATTCTGCTCAAAAGATTTCACTGAAACTGACGCCAAAAGTGACTTTGATCTTTTGTGTCAAACCGATCTTTGTACTTGCTAAACAGGGCACCCACAACATACCAAGCCGGCATTTCTCTGCGCGGCGCGACGGATTTTGGATTTTGAGTTTTGCGACTTGTTTTGAGCTTTGCGACTGGAACCCGTGCGTCGCTCCCTAGTGCAGCTGGCATGCGTGTCAACCGTGGCTTACAGATAATGTCTTCAAGTTTTGGCCGGTGGAAAGCTTTCCTATCGGTTATCAGTACTGGCTATTCTTTTGTTAAAAAGCTAATCGTGCTGTCTGTATAGTGAAAGCGTCATCTCCTTGGCACCTCGCTGCAAACGTTCTGAACAGGGGCGCTCGTCTTTACTTGAAATGCAACAACTGTGGAAACGTTTACGTCACGTTGTCCCCAATTACAGGCCGGCAAATGCATCGTGAAAGCCAACATTCTAGCTCTTAATTACGGATGCACTTAATTCTTGAGGCAGCTGGAGATTTGTTGAACAAATTTTGTTCCAGCCCTTTACCGGACACAGAGACCCGCAACTCCCTCGAACAGCCAGTGTCTGCTGCTCAACCCGTGCGTAAATACAAGTCCATAAAAATTGACAGAAAAGTGCTTAAACTTTGATGCGAAGGGTGTAAAACTCCTTGCTTTAATGTGATCATGACAGTTGCAGTTTTTACAAAGAGACACCGAGCCTTTCAAGTTTGCCAAGTGCAGTCGCAAAGTGACGATGCGCTGCCGATAATAGCTTTCGTTCTATGTGTGTAGCGTCCGCCCACCACACGTTTAATAAGAATGTGATGCTGATATAAAAAAATGATTACGATGCGAAAAAATGACAAAAAGACGAAAAGCTCGTTGGCAGGTGGGCCCGAGGTTTTCAGCGTCTTTTTATAGCCATGCACCTGCGCTTCAAACTGACACAATTTTACTCACGTCAGTCGATTGCAAACAATTTTAAAACGGTGTTGTATTTCCGCCAGCAACAGGGTGCACACGTCGCCTGTGACGTCATTGCCCGTCTACAGAGAATTCTGAAATTTGCCGGCCAGCAAACAACATTGATAGTAAATGCTACCCTCGACAACAGACAACATTGACAAGCCTGCAACGCCCTCTGCCACGTCAGCTGTCTCTGCATGTGTGTAATGTACGCGAAGGGCTTCCCGCCGACAACATTAGTTTTACCAATTTCTATGACGGTAGTTTGACATGGCTGCACCAGTTTGTATGAGAGCAGTTCGGTATGGCTGCACAAGTCTGTATGAAGAGAGCTTAGTATGGCTGCACCAGTTTCTATGAGGGTAGTTTGGTATGGCTGCACCAGTTTGCATGATGGCAGTCTGGTATGACTGCGCCAGTTTGTTTGAGGGTAGTTTGGTATGGCTGCATCAGTGTGTATGAAGATAGTTTAATATGGCTGCACTTCTTTCTATGTGGGTAGTCTGGTATGACTGAATCACTTTCTAATGAGAGTTTATTGGTAATACTGCACTATGTTTATGAGGTTAGCTTGGTATGGCTGCACCAGTTTGTATGATTGGCAGTCTGGTATGACTGCGCCAGTTTTGTCTGAGGGTAGTTTGGTATGACTGCATCAGTGTGTATGAAGATAGTTTTAATATGGCTGCACTAGTTTGTATTAGGGTAGCCGGGTATCACTGCCCTGGTTTCTGTCAGGGTATCTTGATATGACTGCATCAGCTTCTATGAGGGCAGCTTGGTACTACCACCAGTTCTATAAAGGTAGTTTGGTATGGCTGCACCAGTTTGTATGAGAGTAGTTTGGTATGGCTGCACCAGTTTGGATGAGAGTAGTTGGGTATGGCTGTTTAGTTAGTTTCTATGAGTTAATAGTTTCTATGAGGGTATCTTGGTATGACTGCACCAGTTTCTATGAGTGTAGCTTCGTATGACTACACCAATTTCTAATAAAGGCAGTTTGGTACTGCTGCACTAGTTTCTACGAGAGTAGCTTGGTACGACTGCGCCAGCTTCTATTACGGTAGTTTGGTATGTCTGCACCAGCTTTTATGAGGGTAGTTTGATATGGCTACACCAGTTTTTATTACGGTAGTTTGGTATGGCTACACCGGTTCCGACACATTTGCTACCTTCTTGCAACAGCTCACCACCTTTCAGGAGGCCGCATTTTGCTGGCGTTCGAGGTGTAGCACCGGACTACATAGGACGCACCCAACGCTGATATCAATCAGACCATAGTGCACAGCGTGTTGTTGACAACTTCCTGCCACACGCGGTCGCACCAATGTGCTCACTGCGATTACCATGGTGCCGGCCTGTGGGTAGTGGACTTTTACTGACGTTTAACTCATTCTAGGGCAGGAGTAATCGCTCTCTATTCGTAGTGACATACCCAACACCGTTCCAAGGATGAGTCACGCTTGTTGCCGTTTGAAGAACAGAAGCTTCGTCTGCGGCGCCACCCTGACCTTACAGCATGCAGTGAAACGTATGCATATGCACCGTACCGTACGCAGTCCTCCGAAGCCAGTACACGCCGCTGGAACCTGAGAACGAAGTCTGCAGCGGACTGGCTTCTGAATGGCGACGACGCCGCGTGATTTTGCGCATATGATGACTGAATATAATGTAGCCGTCTGTTCTTTGACAAATCCGCGATGCGATGCGTTGCGGACTGTCCCTAGTGATGCGATGCGGTCCATCCCTTATGATGCGAGCGGACCGTCTCTTACGATGCGACGCCTTCCGCCCGATACGATGCGTTATGTGGCTTATTATGTTTCATCTGATGCGATGGGATGCAGTCCGTTCGATGCGATGCCGTCCGTCCAATTCAATGCGATGCGGCCCGTCCAATTCAATGCGATGCCGTCCGTCCATTTCGATGTGGTGCGGTCCGTCCCTTCCACAGATGATGCCGGTGTTACTGGCGGTCGCCGCAGACACCGAGCCGGAGCTGCCGCCAGTTTCTGACGGTGCTGGAGCGTGAGACGGTGGCGATGCCGCCCGACCGGCTGGCGGCGGCTCTGAGCTGGGCAAGGAGCCGGCTGGCCGCGCACCCGACCGCGACGGCGGCCAAGGCGCCGCGCCATCCGGGCCGCCGCTCGCACTACCACATGTCGCGCCACGACTCGGACGCACGCGTGCAGACGCTGGCGCGCGAGGCGCTTGTCTGGGTGGAGGCGGCGCGAGCGCCGGCCAACCTCAGCGCCGCGCGTGACGATGACATTGAGTGCCCGGATGACTCGGAGCCTAGCTGCGACTTTGATGATGAGCGGTACCGGCGCCAGGACGGCGCCTGCAACAACCGGCGGCACCCAGCCTGGGGCGCCTCAGACACAGCGATCGTGCGTCTCGCCGCTAACACGTACGACGACGGCGTCGACGCGCCGCGCAGCGTGTCGGTGGCGGGCGGTGCGCTGCCGTCGGCGCGCAGGGTCAGCGCCGGGGTCACCGATAGCACCGACGCCGAGAATACGGCGCTCACGCTCTGTTTCGTCCACTGGGGCCAGTTCATGGACCACGACATCACGTTTTCGCCGGTGCAGCTCGCCGCGCCAGGCGTCAGGATCCGCTGCTGCGCCGATGGCGTCGTCGCCGACGACGCGCACCCACGCTGCCTGCCGATCGCCGTGCCAGAAGACGACCCGTTCTACGGGCCGTTGGGCCAGCGCTGCATGGAGTTCACGCGCTCGGTGCCGGCCATGCCGACCGACTGCTCTCCCGGCCCAGCCATCACCGTGAACTTGCTCACCGCCTTCATCGACGGCAGCGGCGTGTACGGGCCTCACGAGTCGCGCGCGGCGCAGGTGCGCGCCGGGGAGGGTGGCCGTCTACTGATGCAGGAAGGCGCACTGCTGCCGCGCGACCCTCCCGGCGTCCAGATCGACACGGAGCTGCCCTGCCTCAGCCCCGACCCGGAGGGACGGCCCTGCTTCCTGGCCGGCGACGTGCGCGCCACGGAGCAGAGCGGCCTCGCCACGGTGCACACTATCTGGATGCGTGAGCACAACCGACTAGCACGCCGCCTGGAGCGCGTCAACCCCGAATGGGACGACGAGCAGCTCTTCCAGGAGGCGCGCCGCATCCTCGGCGCCGAGATCCAGCACATCACGTACAACGAGTGGCTGCCGCTGCTGGTAGGCGAGGCATTCATGCGGCGCATGCGCATGGGCACGCAGAGACGGGGCTTTTCACGCCGCTACTCGAATCGTGTCAACCCCAGCATCGCCACCGAGTTTTCTACGGCCGCGTTCCGCGTGGGCCACACACTGATCCAGGGCCATCTTGAGCTGTACCGGCGCGTCGCCAGCTCCTCGGTCAGCCTGCGCATCAACCTGCGCGACGTGTTCCTCGACCCGGCGCTGCTCTACGACGGCCAGCTGGACCAGATCGCCATCGGCATGATCAAGCAACACCCACAGACGTGCGACGCCAGCATCGCCGAGGATCTGACTGAATTCCTCTTCCAGCCGAAGGGCCACACCTTCGGGCTCGACCTCATCGCTCTGAACGTGCAGAGAGGCCGCGACCTCGGCATCGCCTCCTACAACACCATGCGCTCGCGGTGCGGCCTGCCACGTGTCTCGAGCTTCAGGCAGCTGCAGCGACAGATGCCGACCGATGTCGTGCGCCGCCTCCGCAGCGTGTACGCGCACGTCGACGACATCGACCTGTTCGTCGGCGCCGTGTCCGAGCGGCCGGTGCCAGGCGCGGCGGTCGGTCCGACCATCCGCTGCATCGTCGGCGACCAGTTTGCACGGCTACGCTGGGGAGACAACTTCTTCTACGACCTCGGCGACCGGCCGTGGAGCTTCACGCGCGTCCAGCTGAACCAGGTGCGCAAGGTGACGTGGGCCCGCATACTCTGCGACAACGTCAGAAGCATCGTCAGGATCCAGCCCAGTGCCTTCCGGTCGGCCGGCATCGGCAACAGCATCACGGCGTGCGGGAGCTTGCCGAGCATGAACCTGCGCGCTTGGAGGTCTGACGACTGAGACGGCGGGTGCGCTTGACGGACGTCAGACGTCAGACGTCAGACGTCAGACGTCAGACGTCAGACGTCAGACTCCTTCTTCGCCAGGCTTTAAGAGGGTTTTGGGTTTTTGCTTTCGGTTTCCGGGATAGTGTTCAGGTGTTCGGTACGCGTGCCTCGTTGTGTTTTTCGCTACGATTGGCATTTCGCGGTTTAGTAAAGGGGTTTTTCGTACAGTGATGGTGTTTGGTGATTACATTAATCATCGATCTCCTGCCTCAGATAAGATAACTGAATGTGCATATGATGATGCACGACAGCATGACGAGCTTAAGATGACCAATATTGCATTGTGTGGTGTTCAAAACACTTCTCTGTCCTTCCCTTATGGTCGAGGTTACCTTTAGATGACCTCAAGTTTCCGAGAGGTTTCGATGTGAATAAATGTTGACTTTCAAAGCTTTCGTCTTTTTCTTGGACGAATATGTAAATTTCTACGGACGTATGTCTTCGAAGATGTGCGAAGAGCATCGCCGCATACCGGTGCTACCACCGAAAACACTTTGAATGACCTTAGAACGTGAAATGACCATAGAAGCCCGTGCGCTCGTAAGAGCCCCAAACATCATCATGCCACCACCGATGCAACCGGAAGGCAGACCTGTAGCCGCCCCACGCCCAAGAGGCCCAAAGACGAACAGTATATTGCCTACTTAAGCTGTCAATTTTGAGCACCAACATATTATCGGTTAAAAGAAGGCACGTGCATGAGTTTATGCGCACACACGCATACACGTCCGTTAGGGTGTGTCTCCATATAGGGTTTTCTCTCAGATTACATTTGGAATGTTATTTTTCGTGGTACAGCACGCTAAAAAGTTGATTGATACAAAAACAATGCACAATTATGTGTTTTTGCTGGGCTAGAGCGATTTTTTCCTCGTTTAACCAGAAGTGCCCAGTTTTATCTCGGCACCAACTAAAATGCTTTGCAATTTTTATGGTCGTTGGCCGAATTCCACTATTTGGGAGATGCTATGATATATTCCATAGCAAAAAATTGCAGTCTTGTGTTTGTTTTGGTAGTATTTGTCTACAATATGCTTATATTTTTCATAACATAAAATGCTAACAACCACCTGGTTCTATGAGACATATCATAAAATACAGTCGGATATCACTGCTATCAAAATTGTTTAAGCATAACATACATTTATCGAATAAGCGTGGACAATTGTAAGGTAATAATTAATTCGGAGAATTGATTGACGAAGTTTTTATTGAAGCGCAGATAGTTAAGAGGAGAATGCATCTAACGCATTCGCGGACTCACCATATCATGCTAGGTCCGCCAACCTCGCTACAGAATACACAGCTGCCAACGAGAGGCGATGTTATGAATCACGTGAGATCGCTAGCGCAAAGCAAATGAATTGTGTGGCGGAAATCACTGGATTCAACCATCTTCCGTTATGTGGCTGCACAGGTCATCAAAATCTGGGCTAATGAGGGTATTCCAACTCACGACCCGTACTACGTCTCCAAACGTGTCAAAGTAGAGAGATACGATGCACTTAGAAAGATGGGCTAAAATCCTAAGGAATCCAGGAAGAGGAAGGGGAGTGAAAACATGAGCAAAGCCTTCTTTACCAAACTGACATCGCCATGTGGAAGTGTCGTTCTCAGCAACATGTACTTGAATAGTACACAACACAATTCCGGCGGAAGAACGGGCAGCTATGAAGCATCACCACAGCCAGCGGAAACTCACTCTGGGAGCCGTCGATGACAGGGCAAAAACTGCGGTAAGGGAGGCGCTCCTTCAAAGAAGAGAGTCCCGACAAAGCCATCATCAACGGCAGGCGTCTGATCCTGTACCTGGACTGAGCAACACCACTTGCAGCTTCGACATGGACGACAATGCGAGCGTGGGTGACACCATGAGAGGAGCAAACGACTCCTTGTCGACTGCCGTCGCCTCCGAGAGGAACGCGGACAACCTAGCTCACACAGCGCTGACCGCGGATCGTTGTGGCGTCTCCTATCGGGTCGCCGCCACAATCATGAATGCATTTCAGCAGGAAATCGGTCGTCTAAGCTCACAAGATAGATCAGCAAGATGGATCACGCGTTGTCGAGTCGAAAAAGATCTGACGGACAAGGACCCGAGTGAAGCAAGAAACGGCACGCGAGAACCCTGACGACATCTTGGCGCCGGGATTGGACAGGTTATACTTTCATCGACAGAAGACAAAACACGTGTGGACCGAAGCCATAACTGAAGCTGAAAAGCACGTCATCCTCGCCACGGAGCCGGGAGAGAGGCGTGTGACGCACTTCACCCCACTGTCTGGAACATCCATCGACCTGCGGCACGAGCTAAATTCGACCAGTCTACAGTCTTCGACGGAGGAGTGAAGGTTTTGGGCTGTGGTGGGGCGGCCGCGAACCCTAGCGCGACCGGCAGAGTGCGTCGACTCTTCGAGCCCGTATCCGGGGCTTCAGTTTAGTAATTCACCTGCCAGTTGCATGCCGATGTACTAAGCCCGCGATATGTTATGCTTACCCTGGATGGGACCACCTCCAGGCCACGGTCTTTAACAGAACCCGCCGGCAAAAAGTATACCACCGATGTGTGGCAGAGTGAGATGGTGGCATTTGATACCGTCGCTGGGTTCGTGGAAGAAATCGCATACGCTGTGGTGCGACAGCTCAGGCACGACCAGGAGCGGCTGTAGCGCCTGGCTCGTGCCGTCCAAAACGGCACCGCCCCGGACCAGACAGACAGCAGAAGAACAGGAGCACTGAACCACGCTAGGGCAAGCGAAGTGAAGGCTGGAATGTGTGTTATTTGATATCGCTAACAATGCATCAATCTAGGGGTATCAATTTTTGTAAATTATTTGGGGGCCAAACCGAAGGCCCGGCAATCTACCGTACCATTTTTTTTGTTTAGCCCACTTTATTGTGGTTAAAGACAATATATGCTATTAATCGTTGTATAATTTATCAGAAGTCTTTAACTTAAGCAGCGTAAGTCATTCAGGGGGGGGGGGATCCAGAGAGCAGGCACTGCACGCACGCCTGTCCTCTCATCAGCAAGCGAAGGCGCCCCTTTAGAGGCCACCTTGGGGCGCCGATGTGGCTCTCCTATGGCGGTCATGGGAAGCGGCACGCATTCTGGTTGTGGGGGACGAGAACGGGATTAGCCTTGAAGGATTTTGGTCATCCCATATTCCAGAGCTTTTCACTTTAACCTTAAAAAGCAAGGTATCATGACTCTAGCCATGATAGGTCTATTGCATTGTTTTTCCGCTCAGCTGTTGCGATTTGTATCTGGTGGTAAGAGAAACCATGGCTTTATGTTATGAGAGCAGTACCAGGCGCCACTTACCAAAAAGATCAAAGAAGATGGTATTTTTCTTGTGGCCATCTCTTGTGGCCATCTCCGGTCGAAAACATCGGGGGCCCAAGCCAACATGGGGGCAACTCATTTGGGGGAGGAGAGGGCCCTCACAAAAGAATGCAAATGAACACCCGTGCATCAATTTTTCAATAATGTTCCCACTTGCTCCAAGGTACTAAAAGCACCTTGTCCAAATGAACAAAGGATGTCTTGAATGATGTGCTTTGTTCAATGACTTTTCTCGTTTGAGATCGTGAGGGAAGATGTACTCTGCAGACTGTACACTGCACGTTAGGGACCGTCCATTAGTTACGTTTCACGGGAGAGAGTAGGTAGGGGTCATCCACAGCGTTACGAATTGTGGCGCAAGGGAGGGGGGGGGGGATGTTGGCACCTTGGTTAGTGTAGCACTACGTCTTGAAGCCAAAATCATCGGCAACAAACTTTTGATGGTTTCCTGGTAAAATGCCTTGAACCTGATTTGTTGATAAAGGGTATTCTTCGTATACTGCAATCATGACAGGGGATACTGTTCAGTGTGACAAGGGAAGGGGATGAAAATGATAACTTTTACGTAGCATCATTAATGGACGGCCCGTTATAGTACATTGCACGATATACACGCATACGACAGCATGAATTCCTTGTTTTGCAGGTGGCTGACGATGGCCGTGCGCCACCTGCGGCTGTACATAGCGGCCGAATCTCCATCTGCTGAGCTGAAACAAGTGGCTAACTTCATCGCGGCCCACTACGTCCCAGCCTGGTTCACGGTGCGCCAGAACAGCGGCTACAATTCCGACGCCAAGACCCTGCATCTCAGCGTTGAGCTGTTCTGCTTGCAGTTGCCGAGCAGCTAATCCATCGTCTGGCCGGTGCTGCTGAGAGACGACTACTGGGCCCACCCCGAGCAGCTGCTGCTGGCCATGGCCTCCAACGATAGCCGGCAGACACGAGAGAAAACGGCCCAAGTCGTTCGTGCTGCGCGCCTGCGTGTGACGCAGGCCGACAGGCGCGTCAATCTTCCTGATGTCAGCTTCGGAACTGAAGGGAACACGGATCTCACCAACGGGAGCTCAGTGGGGTGAACGAACCACCGCTGCTTGGAGACCTCAGTAATGAGAGCTTACAGGAGGTCGTCAAAGATTCAGCCTCGCTCCCGCTGTATTCGGTGCACACCCAGGCCGTGGAGAGGGCCGTCAACACGGTGACGGAAGTCTGCTCTTCGGTGCTCGGGGAGAAGTCGAGGCACGGCCTCTTCACAGCGAGGCTGAAACAACGGAACATCATCCCGGCCTTCGCCTCGAAGCAGGACTTACATCCCTCTGTTACGTGGGATCACTATCGTCCTTCGATAGTAGATATATCACAAATTTCAAGTTTATCTCAGCAGACCCAAATAACTACAAAAGAACTGAGCAGTATGCATACATTGCAACCCATCTCTTTCATCGATTTACTTGTCATCGTGGTATACTAAGATTTACGTGAAAAACCAGATTATCACGATTTTACACATTTTACAGATGCTTTAAGTTCTCTTGAGTCATCAGAAGCCTTCTCATCAGCGTGCAGATGCAGTCCTGCCTCAAAACCTATTTCATTATAGTCCATGTCTTAATTGTGTTCTAACACAACTCTTTTCTAAAAAAAACAAGTCATTCATCCCACGGAGACCTAACCTCGTACCTAAGCGTTTCCACACTCTTTCTAGTCCACATCGGCCGGGACGACCGCGGCCTGTCGACGAGTAGCAGTGACCTGTCTGTCCTGCTCCACCGCCACAACCTCGCCCGTTCCGTTACCAACACCTGTCTTCCGTCTGCCAATGCCGAGCTCAGCTGAGCTGGCGTCAGGAGTTACCGTACTTTGGACTGGAGTGAATATGCGGGTTTTTGCCTTTGTAAATCTGATTAAGATCTTGAGAAGCGCTGAATACAGCTTTAGCTTGCAGTCCGTGTTATTTCCCATCTGTAATCAACAGTCTATCCAAAAAGATGGTTTCATGATCGTTTTCAGCCCTTACCAGAATCATAAAACATCATAGTTAACTTCAGAAATATGGGCGATATAGGTGGCGCTACTATCGCCAGAGCAGAAAAGTGGTTCTCCAGAAAATCGTCCCTCACGGAGCTATTTTTGATTTTTGCTCTATAATTCCTTCAGATTTGATGTTATTTATCACCAGCGTCGCTTTTTATCATATTCCGAAGCAATTTTGTAATTGACAACACATATTAATGCCCGTATGTCTGTCGCGCGTGTGTTTATCTTACGAGCAATGAAGAAGCATCAGTAGCCATCAGCATTCAACAGAGAATTAATTCGGTGTTTGCGACCACAAAGCCAATGCACACATCTTGTTCTTGTACCAGGCTACAGTCCTCACAAGGGAGGCACTAAACGGCCGACCAAACCCGTTGATAACTCCTTGCTCCAAGCCTATTGCACCGATTGGTCATGAGACCCTCACCAATTGATGTGTCATAGTCAATATCTTATCCTTCCCAGAACATGTTGACGTCAAATGTTGTAGGTCACGTCAAAGGTCACTGTAAATATCCAAAATCCGGAAAATTTGGATGCAGACAACGTCAGCGCTCCCAGCCGAGCTTGTGGCACCAGTCAGCATAGAAGCTTCACCAATCGATGCACCGTAGTCGAAATCCTATCTTTTCCAGATCATTTCCCTGGGTCAGGTCAAAAGTCACCAAAGAGACCCAAAACCACCAAAATTGGTTGCAGACAATTTCAAAAAAATACAGCAAAGTAAAGGTTGCAAATAAAATCGTAGTGAACGAGCATTTCATGCTCTAGGCAACTGCGACATGGGGACATGTATTTATTTATTTATCACATGTCATAAGCTCACTCCATTCAGACTGTGGCTATTACAGAGCCCATGTCATTGAAATAAGACACTGTAGGTCAGGGAGGCTCACGCAAACACGTACACACGCAGGCACACATACGCAGAGCGAACTCCCTCACCTTTGCTAAAGTCATTTGAAGTAGGCGTCGCTATCCGTTATTGATCCGCCGCTGCAGGACATAACTAGGCAGTCGGGTTTGAATTGTGGAGGGCTCAGCTCGCGACTATTCTGCGGTAGTGCGCTGTAGGCGGTCACGGTGGAGTAAACAAAACGCCGCCTTCCCGATTCGGATCTGATGGATTCGTTCTGACATGGATTCATGTCCTGGTCGCGCCGGGTTTCTGGTTACCAATTTTTTCACGCCTGCATCCCTGCTCGCCTCTTTCAGCTTTGCCGAAAATGTCATGGACGTCCGATAAAGTACACGTAGGTCTGCTTCCGGAACAGAATCTAACGTCAGCTAAAACCGTTGTACTGTCTGTGTCCGAAGGCGCGGCCCGTCGCTCCGAACACTGTTCCTGCCCAGGCGTCACTGGATGTGATGTGGTCAGCGCAGGTGGGAAACATGTACGCGGGTTCCGTGTTGGACGTTTATGTCTTTTGTAGCAGGTGTACCAGGATGGTGTGCTTCGGCTGGGTTCGGCTGGACAAAGCGGGCTCGGCATGCGGTAGTGTGCGGCCCGCGACGACGGCGACAGCGACGACGAATGATTCGACAGCGACGAGAAACACCGACGAATCGGAGACACAGCATCACTGCATGACAGGCCCGAATGTCACACACATCTCATAACTATAAGGCTCTTCTTCATGCCTCCACTTTGACTGTCTAATTGGCGATCGCCTTCACGGTAATTCGCAAGACCCCGCCAGCCAACGAAAAACGAATGAGAGCAGTGCCAGGGGACGATGTTTGGGAAAGATGTCCACAAAAGCCGTTGTTTAGTCAAGCGCCATGGCAGGTCTCTTCCGATCACATTATGCATCTTGTTGGTAGACATAATGACTCTCTTGATATAACATCATTAGATAAAACTGGTAGTGAGGTTTCACCAGAGTACGTCTTTGGCATACGTCCCAAGAGCGGCGTACTCACTTTGAAATCCTGGTGCGACCATCCTGGGCGGGATGAACACGACATAAAACCCAGGTCCCGGCCTGTGGGGTAGCCGGTGCACTTGATTAAAGGATAGAAAATGGGGGTACTCGGAGCGCAGTACGAACACCCCGTCTTGATGCAGAATTGGACAACCTGAGCAAGTGCAGCCGGCAGCTGGACTCACAGAACGGTCACCAATCCCTCTCCGGACAATGGTGATCTTAGGTCGAATCAAAAGGTCAACGAAGGTAAAAAAAGGCCAGCAAAAGGTCAATATGAAGAAAGGAAGCATACATCATCACGACCTCGCAAGATTATCGCAAGCTCCGGAAGCCAACTTTCAAAATTATTGTAAAATATTACGGAACGTTGCATCCATTATCACGCGCTAGAGTGGGTGTCAATTTGACCGCCCCCTCCCCCAAGGTTTTCCGGGATGATGTCAGAATGGCGCGGTGGAGTAGCGCCAATTTTGCATCGCTGTAGACAATTGAGTAGCAAATCATTTGGTGCCAGAAATTTCAAATGTACCGTACAAGGTGGCTGATCCACGGCAGGTCCAAATCAGGCCATGGATTCGGCGCAGTCAATTTCTAGGGAATCGTTCAATCTGATGCAACAACGGAGTGTCAGACGAAACCGTACACCTCTGAGATAGTTTCTCAGGCCCTTAATAAATTGCAGCATTAGGGGAATTCAATCTTCCGAAGCCATTGGTGACGGTCACAGCGTTCCTTTGGAGTTCATTTTGCTGTTATTAACACGCGCCCGGGGGCCGGCTGGCCATGGGTTCGGCGACACATAATGTGTTACAGCAGGTAATTACTACAGTGTTAATGCAATACGACACATAACACACATAATGTGAATTCAGAACACAACAATTAAATGGGCAAATTACATTGACTTAGGGTCAGGTATGAAGTTCAGGCCAAGTTCACAACCAGCCTGTCTTGTTGCTCCAGGGTTTGCTCTACGGGGTAGTTCTGGTATTTATTTCGGGTTCATTGATAACAGAAACCACATTGTTATCTTTCATGCACTTTTAAAGGTCGGAATAGGTCACTGACCTAAAACGACCCAGGTCAACATGTTGTTTTTGAAGCATGCTAGCTAGCGTTATTTTTGTTGCCTATTCAGATATAAAACTCGAGGCAGTCTTGTATAATTTTGGTCACCATGACCTTCATAAGGTAAAACAGGGTCACTAACCTTAAATGGAGATGATTACTTATGCTTAGAACAGGTATCTAGATTATGAGGGCCCTTTGAACACCAGCCTGTAGTTTGACCCTGTTTAGACATATTTGACCCACAGTTTATGACCTAGGAAGCTAGAAGTTTGGCCCAAGTGTGTTCACATGCAGACCAACACACTCTTTGCATTTATTATTTATATCTCTCCTACTTCCTGAGATCTCAAGGGTAAAACTGACCCCAGCCCGAGGGAGGGGCATCAAGCCGGCCACCCGGGCGCGTGATAATAACGGCAAAATTAATTCCAAAGGAACGCTGTTACCGTCACCAATGGCTTCGGAAGATTGAATTCCCCTATTGGTGCGATTTGTTAACTGTTGGAAGGGTTGTAGGATGTTGTAGCGTTTTGGGGGGTAGTGAAGCCAGGCGGAGCTTTAGAGCGGCTGCCAATGACCTCGCAAGGTACTAAATAACACTTTTGAGATCGTTGCATGAGGTTACAAAATGATACAACAGCAGTTTACGACCAAGAAACGCACGGTAGCACCATATAATCACCTCCATTCCTCTCACCAGACACGAGAACCCCTAGTAAAGATGGGGGGGAGGGGAATCACAATATAGGAAATAATGTCTCAACTTGCAGCGAGCACCTCGTTGCAACGCTAAAATAGGCACGTTTGCAACTGAC